AAAATGCTAAGAGGTGATTCCAGTTTCTCATCACTGCAGCACACAACGTTTGTGTGACAGTTCTGAACAGCAGCGAGCTCAGAAGAGCCATTATTTTGTGCTAGTGCATTGTAAGCACATCTTTCTGAGAACCTCCATGAATGAAAGCAGCTCTCCCACAGATGAGGGAATATCACCACCAACAAAGCAGCTCCTGATTCAATATTTTATCATATGGCCACATCAGCCCCAGAGCCTGGGGGAGCTCAGAGCTCCAGGAGTCCCCAGAGCATAGCAGGGCACTGCTGCTGCAAGAAGGGGACGGAGGTGAGAAAAAATGGGACGAAAAATATCCTTTGTGGGTCTTACCGGTACATATGTGTAACTGGAAGTAGCACAAAGGCCTCACAGGGATCTGTAAAGAGCCCCTGGATTTTACATGCAGCTCCTACTATTTGAAAGGGCAGAAACCCAGTGCAGGAGCTGTGCTGAACTGCTCTGTATCAAATAAGCACCCAGCTTCATGACTGCCTGATACTGTATTCCTGGTACTGAGGAATCATCGCTTTGGGAACTGCAAGTACAACAGGCAGCTCCTTGTGCACAAACAGCCCCACTGGAGCAGAACAACCCTAACCCAGCCAAACTTCAGCATCCTGGGACTTGAAAGCAATCCCACCGAAATGACCACAGAAATCAGCTTGTGCAAACCGACACAGAAGCTCCAAACCACCAGCACACAGCCACTGCTGAGCAAACGGAACCACGCCTTGCCCAGAAACAAACTTCTGCAGAGATACACGGCCCTTACCGTGTCCAAGATAAGGCACATGCTGCTCGTCTGGGGCTTCTAAACAAAAGAGCTGAGCTCCTGGCAACACAGCAGCCACTATTAGCAGCTGGGCAGCCAAGGGCACCTATCCTTGCAGGCACATGGATAGCCACATGCCTTTGGGGTCCCACCGGGCAGCCCAGAGCCCAGCTGCCTCGTGGTCAGACTAGAGCACCCCCAGGCTTTGGGCTCTCCCCTCAGCAAGCCAACCATGCAGGTCTGGATGCTTCAGCAGCCTGGTGAAACTTCTGCCCACACGGGAATCCCAGACCTCCATGTGGATAGCAGCAGGCACCCCTGAAGCAGCACTCAGGTTCTATGAGGACATCGCAGGTACCACAGACTGCTTTTCACCCCACCAGACACAGCCTCCTATCTCCCAAGCCCAGCCGGCAGGGCAGCCACTCCCATCGCTCCCCTGTTTGGTGGCAATGAGGCAGCTGGAGCTGCCATCCCCCCCACCCCACAGACATCCCAACCCATCACATCCCCAGCTCCACCCTCACTGCTGTGCCTCTGACGCACAGCCACCACCGCAGCCTTCCTCCAGCCCCGTGCAGGCACCCAGCAGCCAGCCTGCAGGCAAGGACGCTGCTCATGCCAGCTCCTCTCATAGCAGCTACCCAGAAGCTCCACGGCAGCACGGCCAAATTGATCTGCTCCCCATAAGGGATTTGTGTAATCATTAAGATGACCCCCAAGATAGTTTTGAGTCCCCAGCACTGGGTTATATGCATGGAGAGTGGCAGGAGCTGCCATCCAAGCGCTGGCAGCAGGTAGCATCTGGTGCTTGGGAGATGAGTCATGGCACGAAAATCCCCTCTATTTTCTAGGAACCAGTTAGGCAGCCAATGGCTGCAGCAATGATCTGAGTGGGCAAACACCCACACGAACCAGCAGAAATATCCTCTTTTCATAAACAGACATCGCATTGGGTATATTGGCTGCAGATTTCAAGTAGAAGAGATTGCAATTTGGAAAATCACCTTGGGAATGGGAAAACATCATTCAGATTCATTCAAAGGCAACATACATTTCATTAAGATGCACTAAGGACTGGGATAGATAAACCAATTTAAATAAATTAAATGAATTGGAGGACATTTTGAGGGAGGAAAGTAAATGTCCAGCAGAACTTTGATACCCCATAGCACATGCCTACAGTAACTGTATCACCTCCTGCCAAACATGTCTGTTCCCCAAACTTTAACCAGTCTCAGCAACCCCAGCCTCAATCTTACAGTGATGAGGGATTCAGCTCCCCTCGACCTTCCAGTTTCTCCCCACCCCAAAGCACCACCTCATTTACTACAAGCACAAGGGACAATTCCACAGCTGCAAAGAAAACAGGAGGATACCAGAGGCACATGAGAGTTCACGCACTCTTGGAGCACTGAGATACATTTTTGGTTTTGTCTTCTAATTCAATAACAAAAGCTCCAACACCTCTGTACTAGTCACAAACTAATAACACTTCCAGATCAGCCCATAGGCTCCTAGAATTACCTGTAGGCTGTAGGCTCTCTGTCAGAGAGCGTGAGATGACCTTCTTGAATTACCAGGACTGATAAAAATCCAGTAGGACAAGAGAAATTCCATCTTGCTTTCGAATGCCTGGAAGTCACATCCTCGCCTATCAGTGGAGCGAACTCCAAAACCCACCAAGAACAAAATGTTACTGCCCTAACCCTGAGCTATATGGAGCTTACAGAAGATCAGCTATGCTCCATTGATGACTGGAAAAAGCTTTAAAAGCCTCAGGTTTGGAGTACAAAAAACTATGCTCACCTAATAACAGTCCATAAGAGTAAACAAGGGTTTACCTTGAATGACTCCCAGCCTGGGCTGGGCTCCCTGTACAACCACAGACAAGTCAGTAGCTCTCCCAAGTCAGGACTGAGCACAAACCAAAACGCACCTTTCTACACAGCTTAACCCCACACAGCACCACAGATGGATGGTTTTTAATGCTGCCGTAACAAATTAGCAGCAGTACCTCAATTAGGTCAGAAGTCAACAGCTGAGCACTGGATATTAGCACACGCGTTTAATTAGCACAGCAACCAGAAGTATAAGAGCAAGTTCAAAAGAATAACTGGAAACTTGCACTCCATTACAGAAGTTGCTTACTGTGTCTGAACTCAGTGCTGTAAGCACGAGTTGTGTGGTCAGCCCCATCACCTGCTACAGCACACACATGCACTGCGTCAGTACACACAGAACCCCCTCAGCACTATCAGACTGTGATTTTACAGATGTGTTTTCCTTAACAGATCCCCCATCAGGGGATTTTCGGGTATCCCCTGATGGAAAGAAGGAGCTGGAGCTCTCTGCAAATGCTTGCAGTGAATTTGGGGGTTGTGTAACTGGTAGCAGTGAAGGCAGAGGCACGCATCCGATCAGCACATAGCTGGTCTCAGTTCTGATGGAGGTAAAATATATATCAGTATTTCCCTTCCAGAAGAAACCTGGCTTCTAATTGCAAAGCAGCGCTGATTCAATCCCAAAGCAGACTCAAAAGATGACAGCACAACCCCATTAACACAACCAGTGCCTTGTCCCTAGCTGTAATCAGTACTGCAGAGATGGGATAAAGGTGCAAAATCTGAATATGATAATCAACATTTCTACCCATGTAAAGCCATTCAAATCCCAGGTCGCTCCTGCCTTCCAAAAACCCAAATCCAAATTATCTGAAGCAACAGGAGAGTGCAGTGCATGGGGAGGGGGCAGCAGCTGTGTTTCTCCTTTCCAGCAAAGGGACACCTGCCTATTAAAATTCTGCTAATACAAGTGTGTAGAACTGAAGCACAACTATGTATATTGTATCAAGCGTGCCTACAACACTGCCTGATTTTCCCCTTTATAAAGGTAGAACTGCAGCCTTGTAGGTAGCTTCATGTTTTATGGAGGGCAGCACTCCCCACACAGCGCTCTCCTATGCTGCCCCTCTTCCCCTTTTCCAGAGCACATACAGCACCAAAGTGATTCTTAACAAACCAAACTGAAGTCATCTCCTAAGTCCTTCACTTTAAAGACCATCACCTCTCAGCAGTGGGCATCATTCATACCTCTGGTCAACAGGTGACAACAAGCCTTGATTTTTCATGTCCATTACTGCTATCTGAGCCCTACCCAGGAACACCAGACAACTTCCACTGCACATCAAGAATAACACAGCAGGCAATCATCCCACAGTTTGCCATGTGGATACCCTCCAACCAACTGCTATACAGTACACACCATCAGTGAAAATGATGTCAGCAGTGTGAAATAGTTTCCAAGCCTATAACTTGGGAGGACCAAGACTGAAAATTAATACCTGAGCAGAGCATAGGAAGCCTCACCACTGCATAAAACTGTCAGAGTATTCTATCATCAAATATGGGCAAGCGCCCATCTGCAGCCTTTTCATCCATGCATCCAACCCAAAAACTAAGGGCAAAAGGATCCAAGTGCTCATCCCAGATCAGCACCCCAAATACCCGCATCCCAACAGCTGCTATCAGCAGCAGCCAGAAGAGCACGGCCTTACTGAGAGGGAGAGATAAGCTCACAGTCAAAACACCACCAAATGCCCTGTAAATCTCAAAGCGTGACCCAAGTCAGCTGCTAAACAAACCTGACAGATGTTAAAGGCTACAGAAACCAGTGTCCTTCACTGGTGTTAGCTGGTGATAGCTGTGCTATTTCCCAAAACAGGCACGGACAGAGCGCGCGCTTAAGGACAAGGAATGAGATGACCAGCACAAAAAGTAACTGCACCACACTCAGCCCAAGCACATTTCTGAGTGCCAAGCAAAACAGAACACCACTAAAATGAACTGCAAACCAGTAACGTGCTCAGAAGCTATTCAAACATACACACAGCAAAAACGTATTTGTCTTCTGATACGCAGCTGTCCTTGGAAGTTCTGGGGGTTGGGATGTGGGTTTAAGGCAGTCCCAACACAGCCAGCAGAGCTTCTCAATTAGCTACCGTAGGATATATGCAACAGCAGACCAAATTTGGTGTTCAACATATCCATGTGAACCACCAGAGGTTTCTTGATTCAATTCAGTAAATTGACATATAATTTAGGAATGAGGATAAAATATTAAACTGCTTCTGAAAACAGAGGAATATGCCCTGATTACTATACAGAGATTCTGGAAAAGCTACAAGGAATCCAGCTGCCATTGTACATACCTCTGTCTTGCCCAGCAATGTCATTCACCCCCTGTACTTCTTTCAGACTTAGTTCAGTGAATGAACTGCTCTTGAGGGAGAGAAAAATGACAGTGAGAGCAGCAGATCCTTCAAAATCAACATGAAAGGAGGTGCTTTAGAAATAGAGGGAAAACTCATACCTGGGATGCACCTTTTGTGTTGACAGAGGAAACCATGCTCTGCCTTCAGACTTCCACAGCCAATCCAAGTCAGCATGAGAAAGCCCAAGTCAGCAGAACTCAGAGTTGCTGACTTTTGATAAGCATGAATGGCACATAATATAGGGGAAGAGGCCAGGAAAGCATTGCTGAAGGCATTTAAAAAAAAAAAAAAGCGTTATTTTTAACACCACATTTTAAGACATCGAGGCCCTAAAGCAAAATGGTTAGAACATTTGCTTCCATCTGTGTTCTGATAGTGCATGAAGAGTTTTCAGAGGTTGGGTACGCGAGGCCAGTGCAGCAAAAGAGGCAGATCCCAGGAAGGGAAGCTCACCTACAACAAACCAACATAGGAGGGGTGAGTTTATTCATCCATTATGCTGGAGAGCTGGAAATGGAAACATCCTGTACGGCCCTTTTCAGGTCAGCTTGAGCACACACAAAAAGCCCAACAAAAGATTCACTCTCACAGTGAGTGACTGGAAAGCAGACTGGTGGAAACTGATGGTATCTTCCACCTCCCCTCCCTACCCATAAAACGTCCCTATAACTTGCATTGTTGCATGGTTTTGCAAAGAGGGAGCAAAGTCAAATCCAGATCCACTTCTTTGACTTTTCTCCTTCACTGAAGCTTCCGTGCTTTTCCAACCACAGAGGCTGATCTGTGAGGTCCCACCTTTCCTGGCAGTCCCTACCACGCTTGTGTCCTCAGCTATGGACGTACACCTGCAAAATTAACAGCAGACAGAAATGCTTGCAAAATACATCACGCCCACTGCCGCAGCCTTGGAGGCCTATAAAGGCTTAAAAATGAAAAGAATAATCTTTAAAACAGACTGACAGCCTCATTTACCAAACATTCTGGTTTGAAAAAAAAAAAAAAGAGGGAAAAAGAAAAAAAAGAGAAGATTAGAAGATTCACATTCAGAAGGAGTTAGAAGCTAAAAATAACCAGCCAGCTGCAATTCCCACCTTATGTGGCCAGGCAGAAGTGCTTTGTTCTCCCCCTCCCCAAGCACACACATGCTCACTTCCTTCTTCATTGCAACATCAGAAGCTGAACTTGATGCTAACAAGCCACAAAGTCCTGCCCAGAATTTAAAGTCACGCCCCAGTGGTTACACAAAGCTCTTCATACAAGGAAAAAAAATAAAATAAAAATCAATGTACTCAACTTCAGTTAATATTTTAATCCCCAAGACATTCGGACTGCTCACAGATCAGAACAGCAATTTTCATTCGAGGCTCCCTCTACTCGGATGTCTCATTAAAAAAATAACAAACCATGAAGTAACCCAGCTTGCTGCACAATGTGAGCTCCTTTAGCTAACTGCTCTGTCATACAGAGACCAAACCCTCCCGAACACGCAACTTTTAGGTACATTTAGTCTTCACTTTTTTCCTAAAAACATAAAAAGGGAAGGCAGCAGCAGTGGGCGGGGAAGAGAAAAAAATAAACCTAGGCTGATACAGAAGTAAAATTCAACTGTGCAGGAGACATGCTGCTCCTAAAAGGAGGTCCCAGACAGCACAGTAGATGTACAAAAGAAGCAAAGGGCCTCCAGAAGGCGAGCCCAGCTTCCAGTGCAAAGGCAATGTGTTCCTCTCTGCCCTGCCTGCTCACAGAGGCAGCATGCACTTATGAACAGAAAAATCCCAGCTTGTCCCCTGAGACGAAGAGAAAGCAGAAAAAGTGGCACACATCAGTCATTCGTACTGCAGTACTGAAAAACACAACTCAAACCTCCCTCAGCCCAGGAGATGGATCTGGGCAATGAAGCTCCATCACCCTCCAGAGGGATGCCACTTGTCACGTACCCGCAGCACAGGAGCATACTGCAGGTAAATGCAGCTCCTTGGCCTCTAAGCAACCACCAAGGACAAGAGCTTAGGTTTAAATAACATTTTACTTTATTTATTATTAATTAAAAAAAAAAACAAAAAAACACCACCACAAAACAGCTCTGTGTGAGCTTTGCAACAGCTTCCTTAGATCAGCCTTCCACCAGAGGAGGTAGCATGCCCTGCAAACCCCCTCAACCAACTGTACCAGCAAACACTTGTGGTTGTGCAGTGCTGGCAGTCAGCACTAGGAAGTTCCTTATGCCAGGCTGCCAAGATAAGAGCCATAACTGCAAGTCCACGGCCTCACCAGCCCCTGTGCAGCTTTCAAGCTGCAGGAACACAAAACCATACGGATACAAAGGGAGCTTCATTCAGATGCTTGGCCTTCAGCTGAACGTACCAGGAGCCCTTAACTTACAAAAAGGCAACGCAAATGAAGATTTCTTTAAAGCAAGTGGGAAGACAGAGATCACAAACGCGAAAGCTCTTCGACTTCCTCTCTCTGCACTCTTGAAACTCACCCACATCTGCACCAACAACAGCTGCAGGCACCCTGTGGATGGGGAGGCCCTGCCACCAGCAGCCAGCTGTCCTTTCCCTGCCGTGTTTTCCTCTTCACACATCTGCCACAAACTCCCTGGATGGCTGTGGAAGCCAGGTGTGCTTGGCAATGGCAAGGTTTCTGCTGCACTGCACTGCTTACTGAAGAGCTGTCCTCTTTTGCATCCATACAACTGGCTGTTTGAAGAAAACTGGTGCTTCCTTTCCTGATTGCAGGCCCATTCTTAAAGACTCCAAGTAATCCTCACCTTCCAGGAACACACAGGACTGAGTACTTAGAAACAATATTTCACCTGTGCCCCAGCACACAGTGCCAAGCCCCAGCATTTTTAAAGCCACTGCATACCTACAGCATGAAATAAAACTGCATTTGTCAGTATCTGTTTGCTTACTTATCATCCAGTCAATACTGGCAGTGCTTACAAGACAAGCATTTTGCTTTCGTTTTTCCCTACTTTTTACAGCAGCAATATTTTTCTATGTAATCTATAAAACTATGAATGTGCAACAAAGTATGTCAGCCTTCCAAAAGAGCCCTTCCTTATGTTACCGAAGCCCAACACAAATTTCCTTCTAAAAAAATGCAGGTGCAAATATTGTATGTAAAGCTCCCAACTTGGGTCTCCTATAGAAGAAAACTTCAGAAAATGAGGCAAAACATGAGCAAGAAGGGGATTTCCCACCCAAGTCTTCCAGTGCAACCTGCAGTCCCTGACAGTACGTATGCTTCCAGCCCAGGCTCATGCAGAAGAAATGGAAAGCAAAACCTCCCAACTAACTCAGCAAGTCAAACTGAGCAATGCTATGGGGCTCTTCTCTGTTTGCTGTCACAGATCACTGCTGCTGCAACTGAGCAGTATGGCAGCCTCCCAGCCCCGTCCTCTTTCCACATCTGAACTTTCACATCCCAAGTCCAAGGGTTTGCTGCAAAGTATGGATATTCTGCAGCTGGATCAGCTTCCTGCTGACACCAACCTGAGCCCAAACAGCTCAGCAACACAAAGGAGAAGCTCCAGCAGATGGGTTTTCATCAACACCTGCACCAGCTTGAATTCATCCTAACTTACAGCCTCATGAGTTCAACGTCAGTTTCACGCTCCCAAAATGCAGAACCCTTTGCTCCTGAAGCATGAGTGTCAGCGGGAACCTGACTTTCTATTTTAATCAGTACAATCTGTCAAGTTGCAGACAACAGTTTACATACATCACAAAGAGATGAAACCCCACAGGCAAATAAAACTAAGGACAGAGTTAGGCCTCACATTCAAAGGCTCTGTCTTGAGTTCAAGTACAAGAGCACAGTGCCACTGAATTTTAAGAAAGTTATTAAAGTTTAATAGCATAAGATATCTGGCCTTCCCTAGAATAGGCTTTCTCCTTTTCTTGCACAGTTGCTTGTTACTATGCTCACTGAAGGGATACGATTCTACTATCAAATAAACTAAAAACCACAATGGGAACGTCTGCACAAAAGTGTCAGTTTGTCAGAAGACAGCCTGAGCCTGAAGGCTGCCAAATCTTAGGAGGTTTTTACATCTGCTTTACAGCTCTTAATATCAGGTAGCAGAATTTATGTGTTGCCCAATTGAAAACTGAACAAAACAGAGAAATTCCTAAGTGAGAACATGGCAGATAAAGAGGAAAATTTCAGTGGAATATATAAGACTGCTTTCGGCAAGAAGGCGCTGAGGGCTCGCTAGTGGCACAATAAGCAATCGTGCCATGTCAAGCTGCCAAAATTCACTGAGGCTACGGCCTGACCTGCATGCAAATCCAGTCGCGAAACAGAACTGAAGAGCTCCGGGTGGATGCAAACCTCAGTGCATCCCCTTGGGTCCTGCTCCACAGCTCCGGTACTGCACCTATCCTGGGTAATTGAGGGTGAAGCAGGAGCAGCCACTATCATCTCTTCAGCTATTAAGGCTCCGTAATGAACGCTCTAACAACAAGCCAGGTGGAACCAGCCCTCCCTTTGCGAGGGCTTCAGCCATAATAAGCCCCTTGAACATTCCTGCAGTGTTTTCTGCAGATCTCACAGCATGAGGCTACTGACTGTGCTCTCACAGTCTTCTGGGGCAGCGATTAGTCAACATTTTTTCCCCTCCATTTAAATACAGATAAAAAACACCGAGGCAGAAAGCTAGCAAACGATCGCCCCGTGGATACGCAGCTGAGTGTTGGCATGCAGAATCCAGATCTTCCAGATTCCAGACCCGTCATCAGCCAAGAGGCCATCATTACCAAGAAAGAAATTAGTTTGCTCTTATAAATAGCGCTTGAATACAAGTCTTGCTGTGAGCAACTGACTTCACACACAGCAGAGCCATGAGAGCAGGGTAGCCCCCTGCTCTCCATTTCTGGGCCTGGGAGCCCTGGGGTGGGCGCAGCACACCGAGAAGCAGGAAAACTGATGAAAAACCTAAACTGCCCTTCTAGAAACACCTGTCGCCCAGGAAAAAGGGACAACACACAAGATTCAGTCAGCAGTTTCCGTCCTGCTTTACTCTGATGTGATGGCTGCAAGGCACACCTGAGATGCGCCCCCATCTCCGGTGATCGTTGGTCGGCTTTCATCATTTGAACTGCTCCCATTGGATATCAGGCATTTCTGCAGCTCTCAAACGCAGATTCTGATTTGTGACACATCCACGTGGTGCTACAAAGGCGCTGTGCTGGCTTACAGCTGATACCATAGCAGCAGGCCTGCTCCTGGACTGCATTTCTCAGAGCACGATGCTATCACAGAAGCACTGCTGGGCTCGAGGCAGCCCCTGCACTCTGCTTCTGGAGGAGCCCAACCTGATTCGGAATTAAATACGCAAAAAATAAAAGAATAAAATCACTCCCGTCGTTACCCATTCGTTCTAGTTGTAGGTATCTGCATTACTACCTCCTGCCCTCCCTCCTGCCCCAACAACAGCAGCTCCACAGCCAGAACGGGAGCTCTCCCTCGATGGGAAGAGCCGAAAATTGGAAAGCTGTCACCTCCTCTGGGGACCCTGAAGGAAGCAGCAGATGAATTCACACATGAGAAACAACTGTCCAAGTGGAAGAGTGTGCTGGAATGCTTCTCATTTCTACTCCTCACTTTAGGAGAAACATAAACTCCTCCTTCATTAGGTTGCCTGCTTCACAACAAACCCAGTATTTCTGCTATGAAGGAAACGTGCCTCTCCCTCTTCTGCTGGAGGCTCAGCTCTTCATGCAGAAGAG